GCCTGCCTTTGCTGCCTTTAAGAAATAGTATAATGCTTTCTGGGGAGGAAAGGAACAGTATTATTGACAGTCATGAGTATATGCAACACAATTAATTTTTTAACCAAACTTTAAATTTCACTCAACATTAATTTAACAAATATCTATAAAATGCCCACTTTATTTAAGTGCTATTTCAATTGTAAAACAAAATACTGTAGTTTTATGTGCTATTGAGTTGATTCTAATTCATAGGGATCCCCATAGGTTTTCCAAGGCTGTAATCTTTACGGAGGCCAATTGCCACATCTTTCTCCCTTAGAGCGACTGGTGTATGTGTGTGCCAGTTTAGAATGTGAGGGCGTGTTTGTTACATTTGGGTAGGTATAGTGATCATGTGCTTACATGGCGAGAGGAATCACAAATGTAGAGTTAAACTGTCCACAATTTTGAAAAGTATACTTCTGAGAGTCTTGGTGTGGCACTGTAGGATTAACATTGGACTGCTAACCATAAGGTTGGTGGTTCAAACTCACCAATCACTCCTCAGAAACCCTATATAGAGTTGCTATGAGTTGGAACAGACTCAACAGCCCTTAACAACAACAGTCATTTTATAAAGCAAGTTGTTCAGTAGTAAAGATTGCATATACAATATCCTATATGTTTAAAAGCAGTATGAGTATGATAGACCCAACTGGCTGCCTGTTGACACAAGATCTTTCAGCAGAGGTGAACTTCAGATCAATTTCTTCTAAATCAAATGGATGAGGCCAGCAAAGCATCTGATTCCTTCTAGTCCATAACATTAAATTAAGTGCTCAGTCTAGAATGCATAAGGGCCAACCTTGTCCCTTGCTGCTCCATTCCCCACATCCTATCCTCACCTTCCAGAAGATCTCCTCCAGGATTAAAGATAATAATAAAAAAATTAACTCCAGAAATGAAATATGAAGACACATCCAAAGTGTCTTGCAAAGGATTATGGACTAGGCAGAAAGGCTGTGTAGATCATCTTCAGCAAAAATATGGAAAACCAGATGAAACAGATTCAGAGGATGGGCCCGGAATTCTGAGCTTCAGATAAAGGGATAAATAAGTGGATCGAGTCCTTACCAGGAGAAAAATTTGAGCAGACACAAGAAAGGAGATGTGATCCAATGCAGCCATTTTGAATGAGAGCGAGCAGACTGAGCGGCAAGAAAGCATTCCCATTGCAGAAGCCTGCCTGTGACTTATAGAAACAAAGGTATGGTTATTATTAGTATTTCCCTTTTTCACTTTCTACTCATTTCCTCCCTTGTGATTAGAGGTAAGACCTGTGGAAATCCTCAGGGAGCAGAATCCCTCAACTGGGTGCATAATGGAAGGGGGAGGAACAACAAAAAGAAATTTTCAAATCAGACCTGGCCAGCTTTGGGCTGGTTCTCACTAGGAAAAACAGCTGAATGGACTTGAGGGGAAGGAAAAAAAGGGAAAGAGAAAGAAAAAAGCTGGTGATAGATCAGAGAGGCATGGTG